TATATCATATTATATTTAAAATGTTAAGAGTACAGAGCAAAGAAAGAATACAGAAATCTTCAAAAGTGCTAAGTTATTTACAAAGTCAACCTATTACAATAAAAGTAGACTAATCAGCAGAAACAATAAAGGCCAGGATGGCATGCACTAGTGTATTTTTGAGTCCTGAATGAAAATAACTGCCCACCAAGGTACTATATCCATCAAAATTATCCCTTAAAATTGAAGGAGAAATAAATGCCTTCCATGATATCTATAAACTAATGTAATTCATAACCACTAAACCAGCATTGCAGAAGATACTTAACAGAACACGAAACACAGAAGAGGAAGAAAGATACACATAATCACAAGAGCTTCTGAAAGAACAAATCTCATCAGAAGAATAGATAAACAAGTGAGATTTAGTAAGGAATCAAACATTATGAACCCAGCAAACTTCTAAGATGAATAAGGGGGAAATTAGTATACACCTTCTAATAATTATTCTACATACTGGAAAATACAACAAGAGTTGGGCTTTAATTCAATTGGTATAAAGCCTGCCTACCGAGTGTGAGGCCCTGAGTTCAAGCATCAGTACCACCAAAAAAGGTGCCAAGTTATGGGTTGGAGGTATGGCTTAAGTATTAGAGCATTTGTTCAGCATGCACAAAGACTCTGAGTTTAAACTTCAGTACCACCACCAAGAAAAAAAAGGAAAGAAAGAAATATTGGTCAATTGAATTAAATAAACAAGATCCAAATGGTTTCTACCTGTATGAAGCTCACCTCACTAGAAAGGGCATACAGAGACTAAAAATGAAGGGATAGAAAATGACATTCTAATCAAATGGTGTCCAAAAGCAAGCTGGAATACTATAATCATATCTGTCAGAAAAAATAAAGAATGTCACTGCATATTAATAAAGGGAACAACCCTTCAAGAAGATATAATGATTTTAAATATATTTGGACTAAATGTTGGTGTACCCAATTTCATAAAAATGTACAACTGCACATAAAGGGATAGGTTCAGATATAACAACAATGGGTGACTTCAATATCCCACTTTCATAAATAAATAAATCATCTAGATACAAAATCAACAAAGAAACTTTAGTGTCAAACTGCACCATAGATCAAGTGGACTTATCAGAAATGTGCAGAATCTTCCATCCAATACTTATGGAATACACATTCTTCTCAGCAGCTCATGGAACATTCTCCAAAACACCAAATTTTAGGTCATAAAACAAGTATGAAAAATACAATAAATTGAAATAATTTCTTGAAAATAATCACATTACTGAACTTGATCTACAGATTCAATGCAATTCCCAACAAAATTTCAAGAACATCTTTCACAAGATTATTTTAAAAATCCTAAAATTCATATGCAGGCACAAAAGATCCTGAATAGCCAAAGCAATCCTGAATAAATACAGCAGTGCTGGAGGTATCACAAGCTTGATTATAAGTTATACTGAAGAGGCACAGTAACCAAAACAGCATGGTACTGTCACAAAAACAGACAAATGGATGGAATACAATAGAAGATCCAGAAATCCGGCAACTATAGCCATGCGATTCTCAACAAAAGAGCCCAAAACCATAAACTGGAGAAAAGATAGTCTTTTTAACAAATGATACACATATAGAAGACTGAAACTAGATCCTATCTCTCACCCTATACAAAAATCAATCGAAAATGGGTAAAAAGATCTTAATGTAAGATCTGAAACGTTGAAACTGATACGGAAAAATAGGGAAAACACTTCAAGATAAGGCATAAATGATGACTTTCTGAATCGGACTCCAATAGCTAAGGAAACAATAACAAGAACTGACAAATGAGATTACATCAAGTGAAAAAACTTCTGCATAGCTAAGGAAACAATTATCAGAGTGATGACACAGCTTGCAGAATGGGAGAAAAATCTTTGCTAGCTATTCATCTGGCTGGGGATTAATATGCAAACTATATAAAGAACTAAAAAAATTAGTCATCAAAAGAACAAATAATCCAATCAGTAAAGGGGCAAAATAAAAGGTATGAATGATCAATAAATAGGTATAAAAATGTTTAATGTCTTTATCCATCAGAGAAGTGCAAATCAAAACAATATTGAGATTTTATCTTCCCCGGTCAGAATGGCAGTCATCAAGAAAACACAACAACAATAATAAAACCCCAACATCTGGCAAATATGCAGGGAAAAAGGGACCCTTATATACACTTGGTGGGAATATAAATTAGTGCTGCCACTATGGAAATCAGTTTGAAGGCTCCTCAACAAAACTAAAAGTAGGGATACCATATAATCCTGGAATCACTGTCAGTAAACAACAGAGATAAGATTTACTGGGGCACTATTCAAATTGACCAGGTCATGGAATCAGCCTAGATGCCTACTGATGGATGAAGGGTAAAGAAAATGTGGCATATGTACACAGTGGATTATTGTTCAATCATGAAGAATGACATTATATAATTTCAGGGAAATGGATGGTGAGCATCATACTAAGCAAAATAAGGCAGACTCAGAAAGAAAAATTCACATACTTTCTCTCATGTGTGGGATCTAATTTTTTAAAGACATGAAAGTAGAAGGGGAACTATTTGGAAAAAGGAAAGGGATGGGGGAGGATAAGAGTAAAGTGGTACACGTTTGAAAATGTCACAGTGAAACTCATTATTTCATACATTAACGTATGCTGATGAAAAAGAAAGCTACAGAAATCAAAGGAGTGGAACAAAACAAGATCCAGAACTAGAATCCAGACCTTTCTACACAGGGGTCTTAATGACCAATGCAGAAAGACAAACTTTTTGATAAGTGACACTGGGACAGGAAGGTAACCATCTTGGAACACCTTAACTTGCCAGTGGATTATATCAGAATGTGAAAGGTGAAACTATAAAGCCTTACAACATATTGGATTACCTTTATGACCTCAGGGTGGGATAGCAGGATAGCAGTTCTAGAATAAGACAAAACATTAATCATAAAAATATTATAATTTTGATTGTTTTGAAATTAAAATCTTCTATTCACAAAAAGACATCAAGATGAAAGTAAGAAGGGAAACTCAAAGGCTTATAGTTCAGGTACCACTTCTCCCATCAACATCATGATCTTGGAAAAATGATTTGCTGAATCTCAGTAAATCAGAAATAATTGTAGTGCTATTTTGAAGATAGGTGTCATGTACTCAACAAATACCTTCAATTTTGAGGAAGTTATGCGTCTTCTTAGGCATTACAATGCCATGGCACTCTGGGACTTCACCATATGTTACCTTCCAGTAATGATTAAAAAAAAAAACCCTATTCCATTCATTCTGGTCCCTCCATTCACTTTTTCTCCCAAACTTCAGAAGCAGACCATTCTAGTGAAGAGAGGGACAAGGCTTCATCCAGCCCTCAGAGTACTGCTGCATCTGCCATCCTTCTTTCCTTGACGCAACAACCCTGCTAGATCCTGGCATCCACCTTCCATGTGCAGCCATAATGTGCAGCTGTTGGTTAACAGGAATGTCCAGTCAGAGTCAATGTGCACAATGAAGAGGTAATAAGCACAATGAAGTTCGTCAATGATGATGGAGCATCACAACCTTTACGCAGACATTTTATGTATTGTTATGAGGAAAGTGTCTCAGTAATGAAAATGAAAAAGAAAGGCTTTGTAAAAAAAATACCACCACGAAGAATTTTGATAAGATGCTTCCAATCCTCAATAATCACAGTAACGATAGTTTTCCTGGGGTCTGAAAACCAGCTTCAAACTGTTTGCAGTGATTTGGTTTCTCATCCCTGCTATTTTCCCAAAATTAGATTCAGAATCTTTATGTGGGTGAGGGGTTAATTATGACTGAGTGCATTCACACAAGCTATGATACCCTGGGACCCTGTATCTGCAATAGAAATCACTTGGTTGGGAATTATCAGTGGATTTCCATGGTTAAAAACAGCAACCCGGTTTTCAGTAGGAATTCAGTTTCATACCTGTTCAAACAAAACCCATGTTTTAGAATCTCTCCAACACATCAACAATTGTCTGAGTATAGAAATACCTAGCTGCTTTATTATGCAAGATATAAATATAACTCTTGCACAGGTATTTTTATGATGATAATTCTAGCATATATATTTATATCACAAAAATAGCTTGACTCAGTCCAAAATAGATTTTACCATCTGGATGGTAAGAGACTGGAAATCATGAGAAGCAGGATAGTTGCAGAAACTGAGATTTCATTATAGAGAAGAACTGAAAGCAAGAAGAACAAGAAGGGTTGCCATGCTTAATAGAGGCTGGTTTTGGCCTGAAGTTTTCTAGGAGGCTGAGCTAGGATCTCATGAATCAGAAAAAGTCAGAGAAAAGTTTCTGACACAGAGGAATACTGATAAGGGAGAAAATATCCTCTTAAGTTGAGGAGAATCCTATTAGGAAATGAATTTAAGCAGAGGCCAAAGATGTGCTACAAGGGAACTGACAGCAGGGCAGAGGTGGGGGCTCTTACATCCATGGAGCCCCAAGAGTTGAGGAGTCTGAGGTGACAGGGATCATAAGAAGAAGGGTTGAGAGCAGGACTCAGCAGAGTTGTCTCCTGCCATGGCTCCGTGACTCAGGATGCTGAAAACATCTCTCCCCCTAAACTCCCCTCTGAAAAGCAAGGATTAAAACCTGAGGATGAAGGGGTTACTGTGGGGGCAGCAGAAAATAGTGCCTAACACACAGCAGTGTTCAGTTCATGTCAGCAGTCATTAGTGTCAATACTGTAAGCCTTAGTATTTTTACCAGAAATTGGGATCTGTATGTGCACAGATCAGTTTTTTAGGGATCAAGAGTCCTAAAAACCAAGAATCTAAGGATGGGGGAACAAATGAACACTCATGGTATGAACTGTTCTTGAATTTTAAACAATCGTAGCCTTCTGGGAGATGCATTCTGACAAACAAATGACAGTGAAGACAGCGATATAGTAAAGCCAAGGACAACCTGGGGAGGTGGCACCTTTTATGTGTTTGCTCTCTGCTGTTATCCAATGAGGTTTTCACAGACTTGGATGCTCGTCCACCAACTGTGATCACTTCTTCTACCTAAAATAGAGGCACAACACATACCAAGTGGTGTGTTAGTCCTGCAAGTACCTTTAAAAATAAACATCACAGGTGTATATGTAATTTTTAAAAAAGATGCCACAACATCTTATTTTGTCCCTATTTCCCATGAAAGAGTCAAACCTTAGCCCCAATACACAGGATAGAGAAGTCTGTATCACAAATTGTATCTGTTCACAAAAATCTTGCGAAGCCATGAGTTATCCAAAGAGTTCCAAAGTCAAGGAGGTAGATTTGGTAAATTAATTTATTTAGCAAATGTTATCTCGGAGCCAACACCATGCCAGCCACTTTGGGGGAGCTTTGGGGATGCAGACATGACTGGTATGGTGCCCTGTGCTGCTCCCAGGGACTGTGCTGCTGTGGAAGGAGCCTTGAGCCAGAGGTTTGGATCTGTCCTCCCAGCTCACTAGCCCCAGCTTCTTTCTTATAAAATTAAGAGGGAATCAGATTGTGATCTCAAAGGTCCCTTCTTGGTCTGAAAAATTTGGTAATTCTATTGCTTCTTTTACACTAAATAAGTTCAATGCTAAGTGCATTGAGGTCCCAGTAAATAAAGCTGACTGATTCCTCTCAACAAACATACTGCAAAGAGCATCTGGACTCAGCTCATGCCCTCAAGAAGATCCTACGATTATCAGAGTGTGCAGGGAGAAAATAATCGATCACTACTTTTCAGACCTCAGCTATGTGTAGGCCCTTATCTGCCAACACTAGATATGTTCCATTTCCATTTACCACCACCTCCCCCTCCCAAAAGCATTCCTGTGAGCCGAGGATTCCTTATGGATACACAGAGGAATTTTAAAACTCTTTGTATGTGGCATGGATTCAGAGCCCAAGGCAGGGGCCTCTGCCCTTTGTTGTCAGGAGAGTAGCCTGGAGTTGGGTATCATTTCTCTCCCCACCCTCATCACGTCCTACACTTCAGTGGGGAAATGACTTATTCCAGGTCACATGTGCCTGGCAGACAGGGTCACTGCTTTCTGTTCTGCCTGAGACTCCATGTGTTGCAGAGCTGTTATCCAGGCCCATGCAATGGATGAAGAAAAAGCCTACGCTAGCAACCTGAGGGCCTTTCACACCTACTTGGCTTCATCTGCTGGCTCAGGCAAGAATGCTAGACTCGCGTCCTCACTTGGGAAGGGCGTTGATGACTCTAGGCTAGCCTCGGCCCTAAGCCTATCCAAGCGGGGCACATAACCAAATAATACATATGGCAATTTGTTTCTTGTTTGACTATGGCTTTGGGGTGTATGTTCCACTGGTCAGAACCCCAGAAACCCATTGCTTATCATGTGAACAATGAATGCAAAAATGAAGGAAGGAGTCCTGGCCTTGGGGAGTGGGTGCTCTTGTGGATATCCAGTCCTCTGTGGCAATCCTTCTGCATTACCCTCACATGGCAGAGCAAGAACCAGATTTTCTCCTGGTGTTGTATAATTTCTATGTTGTTTTATGAAAATGCAACATGTGCGTGTACATGTGATTTAATTCAGTTCTCTTACACAGGGGCCCACGAAAAAAGTGTCTTTCTCTTCCCATAGGCCCTGTGGAAGGGACTCTATGTAGTGCAGAAAGGAATATCTGCTCAAGCTCCATCTTTCAATTCAGTCCTAGAACATCAGACTGGGGAAAACAATCCCATGAGCTTCACAAATGGCTTGTGTGATGGCCAGAATTTGCTGAGACTGCAGAAGAAACAAAACAAAGAATGCTACTAAGGACATTAAATTTCAAGGCTGGAAGTGTTTGTTGGAATATGGTTTAGAAGGTGCAGTCTGCATTACAGAAGTTCAAGAGAGAATGCTATGAAAGAACTGGGGACTCATGCCACCAGAGCAATGTTCACTGCATTATGAAAGGAGGTGGCTCTTGGGATGGCTCACCTGGCGGAGTGGGTTTTTTATTAACAAACAAGGTTGGTTTTAGAGAAGGCTAATGTTTTGTTTGCTATTTTAAAATAAACTCAGTCTCATAATTTTTTCATTTCCCATTAATTTTTTATTGGCCAGTGATTTGGGATAGGGTGTTAATGTGAGAGGGCATGAATGTTTTTACTATTTTAATATGAAAACATATTTAATATGAACTATTTTTAGTATGAAAAACATCTAGCTTTCTTCCATTTCTTTCAACTAGTGGAATGAATACAAATAATTCCTCATCTCCTGATCTATCCTTAAGAAAATGGAAACACTTTTCAACTGCTATTAATTCCATTTATGGCTTACTAAACCACAGTAGTGTCCTTTGTAAATGAAAATAAAAATAGAATTAAAGAGAAAAAGATTCCCCTCAGTTTTGGAGGAAGGAAGAGAGATTGTTACTGGGGTTCAGACACAGAGTGGTACCTCATCCTGGCAGGGTCTTGGGGCAGCAAAACCTCTGAGCAATGTGCTGCATGATGTGTGTAGCAGCACTGTCTAACAAAGGTTTCTGCAATTCTACTTTATTCCAACATGTACAAAGATTCCAGAGTTGTGGGTTGAAATGTTCTGTGCTATCCAACACAACGGCCATGAGCTACATGGCTACCAAGCACTGAAATGTGGTTAGTACAACTGAGAAAGCAAAGTGGTAATTGTAATGAATTTTTAGTTATACTTACCTAGCCAAAGAGATAGAAACATGACCAGACTAGCTCCAAACCTATGTGTTATGGTTTGAATATGAAGTGTTACCCTAAAAGGCTCATACATTGGGGGTTTCCCCAGCTGGTGGTACTACTTTTGGAGGTTCTGGAAACTTTAGGCAGTGGGGCCTGAGGAAATAGGTCACTTGGGCAGGTCCTTGGAAATATCTTGCCATGGTCCCCTCCTTTCACTGTTCTGCTCTACTTCCTGGTTGCATGAATTGGACAGCCCCATTCTGCCATGCCTTCTCTGCCATGATGAACTGAAACCTCTGAAACAATGAGCTAAAATAAATCTTTTTCTTACCTTGTTCTGTCAGATATTTTGTTACAGTTATGAAAAATCAGACTAACATACTACATATTATAGTCCTGGATAGGCTCCCTGGATTCTTCTTCCCACCCAAAGGACATCACTAGAATCAGTTACCTCAAATTCATCTGTAGTCCCAGGCCACAGAATATTTCCAGCTTTGGAATCCTTTGCTTCTTTCTTGATCGACCTGGGACCTGGAACTCCCAAGTGAATATGAGGACACAGCGACCTTTAGTCCAATCTCTCTGATCAATGTGGGGTCCAAAGAATGCTCCCCTTGGCAAGATTTGGACCACTTCAAGACTGGTATCAGGCCCCTCTGTTGGGTCTGCATCACTGTTCAGCTTCTCTCATTGCTACCCATTCCCTGTGCTCCCCTCCCTTTCCAGATGTTGATCTTCTGTACTCCTTATTATTTTTCTTGCTCATCTCCATTCTCAGAATCTACTGCCTGGATCATAGTGGCACCTTATTATCTTTTTTATTTTTAATAACGTAAGAGAGGTCAGTGTTGGTTAAAATTCATTAAAATATCAGCCTTTGGGGAAAAAGCTCTTGAACCCAAAGTACAAGTTTTATGTTTCTTCCTATTGTAAACACACTAACAAGAACAGGAGCATATGCATAGGTAGTCTTAAAACACCACTTCTAACACTGTTATTTGTCACATAATAAGCACAGATAAAGATTCTCTGTGTTTATGGAAATGCAAATAGAGTCGCAAATTTGGAACTTTTCTTCACAGGGAATTTGCTGTGCACTAGAATCTAAATGTGCTCCTTATTTTTAAAAGATATTTTCAGCACAGTTTCAAAGATTCTTTTAAGTTTAAAAGTTACAGGGAATTAAGAAATCAGCCATGAGGAAAAAATATGAATACTGACATGAATACAGCACTGAAATTTATCTTAATACCAGTGTGCATTTTAACCATAGGTAAAACTCTTTTGAGAAGATCTGATTTGCCCATGTAGAGTGTTCTAGGCTCCTAGCTCCAAGGTTTGGAAACCCCAACCTTTGATTTTCTACTGTCCTGTAGTTCTAGGCTGCTCTTCCTTCAGGCAAGGATGCTCCTTACCATCAAACATTCTCTTATTCGCCTGTACTAAGTGTGTTCAGGAATGACTAATGAAAAAGTTTTAAGGACCAAAATATGTTCAATAAATTAGATAATGTGAGACTAATGGTTTCTTGAACCCACAGAGAGAAATGTAATTAACTACTTGAAAATTCAATGTGGGGGATAGGCACAAAGGTACGAATTACCATTTTAATGATGAAGCATTATTTTAACTCTAAAGTCATGCAATTTGAAGGAAGTTGGGAGGGAATATGAAGGTAGTGAGTGAGTTTACATTTCTTTCCATCCTGACTTCCCATTCTTTGCTTGGACAGGATACTAGGCAGAGGTCTCATTACCTCTGGAGGCAGCAGCTTGCACTCTGATGATCTATATTTATATTAAAATGAATATGGCTACTTTGCCAATGATAAAGATTTCCCCTACTAACAAATGGCAGACTGGATGAGCCCAGTAACCGATGCAAAGGAGACTTAGTCCTTAATCTTTATTCTTTAGGTTAAACCCTACACAATGCTACTTAAATAAAAACCACTTTCAAATGTTAAAACATTCATTACATATGACTCAACTAATAGTTACTTATATAGATTTAAATAAGAGTGAACAAACACTTTGTTTTAGGTGGAGACTTGTTGCTTCTAAATAAGAAAATAGAGAAAATGAATTATAACCAGAGCTATTTGTTGAGAAAATGCAAAATTAACTCTTAACATTTCTCCTGTAAATTCAGCTTGATTTCAAAGCAGCAATATTCATGAAAATCATAATAAATTTCTCTTGGAGATTTCACTTGCTCTCACAGTTTCAACTATTTCATCCATTAAATCTGTTGAGTGAAACATTAACTGAGCACTTTATTATGTGCCAAGTATAGGACTACAGACTAGATATGGAAGGACTACAGACTAGATATGGAAGGACTACGGACTAGATATGGAAGGACA